GACAATCATCTATCATACGCCTCCTACTGGTGGGCCGACTTTGTGGCCTTAGACCCACCACTACTGGAAGGTAACTCACCTCGAAATAGCTGCTGATCGGTGTGGGAATTGATTGTCTGCTGCTGCTGCCGCTCCGGAAATCCTCCGGCTATAATTCCCACAAAATACTCAGTCAAACACCGCTATTTGTCCCTTGGGTAAAATGACCATTTTACCCCTGATCAAGTCAAAAGTCAAAGTGAGTCAACTTCCAGTTGACCCGACTCGCCGAGTTAGCTCGCCAACTCGTCGAGTCCCGTCCATTCGATTGTCCTTAATCTTGTCTTTACTCGTTGAGTTAGGCGTTGACTCGACGAGTTCGTCTTCTAAACTGATGTCCAAGTCCTTCATCCTACTTGCCGAGTTCATCTTCGTCCGATGAAAACTTTATGCTATGACTCGCCGAGTTGTATGAACAACTCGTCAAGTCTGTTCTTGATCTAAGAAGATTGCCTTGAACTCGCCGAGTCAGGGCATTGACTCGCCGAGTTCCTCTATGGATGAGTTCAGCTTCCAACTCACCGAGTCCACCCAGGACTCACTACTCTACTCGGCATAAACGAAAAGGGGGAAAAACTCGGGGACTCGTGACTCGACTCGCCGAGTCCGATGAGTGACTCGCCGAGTCTGCCACATGCAAATACTATACATTCGATCTTGTTTGAATCCAACACATGCCATTTACAGATCTGGGTTCTTAGGGCAGGATTTTCATGTAAAGTTTCCAAATTTACGTGTAGAAATGCATAGAATGGGGATTCAAGGCGAAATAAGGTCTAAGAAGGTAGATCTAGGACATTCAAGCAATTTACTCCCATAAAGGTTATAGATCTGAGCTTCTGGAGCTCAAACACGACTAGATCTAGTGGATAATCAACCTATTACGAATTCTACTTCATGCACAAGCTTGGTAAAGGTTCAAGAAGAGCTCAAAAGGTGCTCTAATGGGGTTTTAAGCATACAAACATAATGGAGCAGAGTTATACCTCAGGGACCTCTGAAATAGCACCAAGATATCTAGTCTCCTTCTTCTCTTCTTGATCCACTCTCCTTCTTCTCCTAAAATCTTCAAAGAAAACACTCTAATAACTTCAATCTCACAAGAAACGAGTTAGGGTTGCTATAGGGTGCTCTGGGGGGTGAATGGGGGCGAGCTTGGGCCGCACAAGTTAGTTTAAATAGGGGGCAAACCCCTGAAGTTAGGGTTTCATCAAACAGTGGGGACTCGCCGAGTCGCCAACTTAAACGCGTCCCAAGTCCTGTCTCTACTCGGCGAGTCGGGCTTACAACTCGCCGAGTACAAGGCTAAAAATGCAAACACTAAAATAAATTTTTCATACCAGGAACCAGGTGCTACAGATCTAGCTATCACCAGTTGAAAGTACATGAGCAGGATGTACCGAAGACTGCACATACATTTGTTAAATCTTGTATTCTATGCCAAAAAATTGGGGGGATCTCACGAAGGGACATTATGCCAATCACCCCGATTTTAGTAGTTGAAAATTTTGATGTATGGGGCATTGATTTCATAGGTCCGTTCCCCACTTCTTTTGGCAATCTATACATTCTTGTAGCCGTTGATTATGTATCAAAATGGATCAAAGGCGATGCTACACGGATGGATGACAATAGTGTTGTTTGTAAATTTGTCAAAAAGAACATCTTTTCTAGACACGGAATCCCTCGAAATATTATTAGTGATCAGAGTTCATAGTTTAACAATTGGCATTTTGCAAAGTTACTAAAACACCATGGTGTTGCAAATAGGATAGCTACTTCATACCATCCACAAACGAGTGGACAAGTAGAAGTGTCAAATAGGGAAATAAAATGAATCCTGGAAAGGACTGTCTGTCCCAACCGAAAAGATTGGTCATTAAAATTAGATGATGCATTATGAGCATATCGTACATCCTATAAGACGCCCATTGGAATGTCCCCGTATCGACTTGTTTATGGATAGCCATTCCATCTCCCGGTGGAGTTGGAACACCGTGCCATGTAGGCCATAAAAATGCTAACTTTGAATTAAGTGATGCAGGTACGGAAAGAAAACTTCAACTTGTTGAATTAGAAGAGATTTGAAGGGAAGCTTACAAAAGCTCAAGGATCTATAATGAAAAGACGAAGGCATTTCCTGACTGACATATTGTCTGAAAACAATTCGTTGAAGGACAATTGGTGTGGTTATTTAACTCTCATCTCAAAATCTTCCCCGAAAAGCTTTGGAGTAAATTGAGTGGACCTTTTGTGGTGACAAATGTGGAGGATCACGGTGCTATTGAAATCAAAGACACGAAGGGCGGTGAACCATTCAAGCTAAACAGACAAAGACTCAAACCGTACATTTGAATGGTAGACGGTGAAACGACCCTCGTTGAGAAAACAATGCTCGAGGTACCACAATATTCAAAAACAATTTAAGCATGGGAACCGTCCGGCTGAAGACGTAAAACTTAGCGCTTTTCGGGAGGCAACCCATGGTTTAGTGTGTTTTTACTTCTATTTTTCATTTTTTGTGTTTAAATTCTTTTTGTATCGAGGACGATCCAAGGTTTAAAGATGGGGAGGGGGTATTTAATTTTTGCTTAAGATTAAAAAAAAAACTCAGAAAATACCCAAAAAAAGGTTCCCAAACAGTTAAAAACGCGAAAACAGCAAAAAATAAAAAATAGCAGCTCCAACCATCCCAAGAGACGTCTAAGGCGCCATCTAAGACGGCGACGAGCTGCCCACTTTTTCCCTCGATGAAATCCCTTCGCAAAATTACCAAAATGCCCTTGTTTGTGAGAGACCTCCTAGGATGCGTCTAAGACGCCGGCTAGGACCCCAACGCTTTTTCAGCTGTTTTATGGTCATTTTCTGCACAATTGTTCCCCTTCCCAACTGTTATGGCCAAAAACACCCACTAAAGACCGATTTTTATTTTTTATTTTTTTATTTTTTATTTCTCCCTCAAAATGCAACCAAATTCGTGATTTTTGTTGTAATCTTCAAGAAATCAAATGAGAAACATCACATTGCAAGATTTTCACACTCAAATCAATTCTTTTGGCTGATTTTTAAAACCCTAAAAAAATAGGGCTTTGAAATTTGGATTTATTTTCGGGTTTTTGCTTCAAGTTAGTGCTTCTTCTTCACTAGAAACACCATCTCAACAAGGTATGTGCTTCAAAACTCCATATATTAGGTTAATTTTGAAATTTCTTGTGTATGTTCATATATGGTAGAAATTTTAATTTTATTTTTTTTTGGAAATATGGCATACAATGGTATGAAATATATGGATTGGTGTTTGTAGTTGTTAGGAATATGTTCCAAACAAGTTGCATGTGTTGATTTGCGAATTGTTTGAAAATTTTATTTTTATTGTTAATGGTAAAAAATAAAAATTCTACACATAATGTTGGAAAATCATTGTTATATTTTAGATTAAAATTTCAAGTTTTTAGAAAATTTTAGAATGACACTGAATTTTAACACTATATTGTTAGTTTGAATATTTACATGTTAGAACTTGTTAGTTGCAGTTAAACTTTGGTTTATCTGTGTTTTTACTGATTGGATAAATTTTTTAAAAACATTTAGTTATTGAAAATATAATAGGACTTAAAATAGATATTTATTCAGCCTGAATATATTTTTACTTTGTTTGGAACAGCTTGCCAACTGATTTATTGTTTTACTTTTTTTTTTGTTTTGTGGTTTTGTGTGTGTTGAATTTGCAAATGCTAGTAAAGAGATCAAGGGTAGCATTATCAAGTAGTACAGCTAGGCAAACCGCATGACAACCAGTTTGACAGCTGGAACCAAATGTACATGTGGCTTTTAACCTACAATATCATACACTACATGAGCACTAATATGACGTCCACCCGGTAGTTTACGAGGCCACTCACCCGCTTAGATTTATTACAGAGTACATGGTGGATCGACATAGCTTTGTTGGGTACAATATTATGGAGACTTTTGACCGTTATGGATGGGGTGGAGCTCTTGACTTTAACCCCACACATGTTTATGTTGATATTGCACGAGAGTGGATGAGGATGCTTCGACATGTCGAGGTGCCTGGCAGGACGGAGGAGTTGCAGCTTATTGGTACGGTTTGGACCCATGATATAGTGATGACTGTTTAGGGTATTTGAGATATGTTTCACGTAGATATTGGATATCATCTGCATGATCTTGAGAACTAGCCGACCGACTACAGATTTGTGGATACAAGGTGGGTAACCCCGAGATTATCATGGAAGAGGTGTACCGCACAACATTCCGTGAGGGGACGAGAGTATATGATAGTTTCCGCGAATTGGTGCCTTTAGCAAAGGAATTGCATAACATTATCAGAGAAAATGTGAACCCGAGTAATAGCAATCCCAGGGCGGTGAACACACATGACATATATGTGTTATACAGATTGATGACATGATCCATCATTATCTCTTATGCATATAATGCTATGTGCAACATATGGTCCTTTTTTATTTCCATAACAGAGTCACCACCCCTCACGTCGCCCTAATATCGACATATGTGACTAGGGAGATGGGGAATAGGATCAAGGTCCCACGAGCTACATCATACCAACGTATCCTTCTCCCTATTGCCACTTCTTTCATACATATATCATTTCATATTATAAATGGGAGACATACACTGAGGGATTATGCAACAAATCTGACTTACACGACACCACTCGGAGTGAGGAACGAGGAGCCACTTGTTGGTGATTTTCAGGGTGATCAACAACAACAGGGAAATGCAGCAGGTCATGGATAGAACATGCGGGTAGCTTAGGAGGACTTTGTAGGGAGGCAAAAAAACGCATAACCAGGAGGTACAGGCTTGGATGGGGAGAAAAAATATATGGATGGAGGGTGTCGACACGACACTAGCTGATCTTACTGAGCAGATGCGACAGGTTGGCATTACAGCCGACAACACTTATAATATTGCTACTCGTCATCTGTACCAGTACTATACAGATGCCGCTTATAGACGCAGCCGTGTACAACATGACCCGATGGACATTGATCTGCCATAATGATCTTGAGCACTAGCACTGGTTTTCTACCAATCTTGGGACCCGAGTGACTATCCATCACCATTGGAGTATGAGCATTATCATCCACCACCAGCTACAACAGACACCATTCAATTTTATGATTTAGCTAGATCGATCTTTGGTTATCCTCCACCATACCCACAATATCCGCCACAGTCGCCTCCATTGTAAACTTTGGTGAGATCCTCTTTTGATGTTGATTTTTATGGTTTATTAAAGACTTTTTATTTTTCTTTTGATTTTATATCTTTTATTTGGGATGAATGTACTGCTATCTTAAACTCTATGTTTAATTATTTTTTCCTAAAGTTGCTCACCATGGAATATATGATGAGCTAGTAGCTTCTCTATATCTTCAATGTAACTCATCAAGATGGAAAATAATAGGAGTTTCGTACAACGAGTCATAATATATAATTAATGTTGTTTTTGCGGGTTGCTCAGCCGGTTTGGAAAAATTTATATATATTTAAAAAAATTTATGTGAAATACCCAAGTTTCAAAAATGAAGGTTTTTGGCTCGAGCCTACGATCTTTCAATTGAGGACCCAACCAAACAATATGTGTCATCATGCTTTGAGTACTTGGTCTTAATTATTCCTGCTTCTTTGAGGTTAGGATGTGACGATTATTGTTTCCACACAACCAAAAAGCATCAGAAGACATTAAAGAACTTCCACGTATATATATATTCAAGCTCAAGTCAAATACAAAGATGATTAAATCCGTTGAAGCTATCAAAGAACTTGAAGAATGCAAAATCAAGATAAATATAAAGAAAAGTTCAAGTTGAAGACATTGTGTGAAACAACATGTGACCCCTCGATAGCAGGAGTGCATGGGTTGGTCCATTAAGTGTTACCGACCGTGCTAACTATGTTAATGAACCTTGAAAATGTGACTTTGGCAATGAGTTCAACTGATTATTCATGAGGTTGATTATTGGAAAGGGTTCAAAAAGTGGAGGGTTTCAAACAACAAAGTAAAATAAGCATAACATGTATTTTGAGTTTAAAAGTCCGGATAAACAACTAATAATCCCCAAAATCGATATATATATATATATATATATATATATATATATATATATATATATATATATTGTGCTTATAGAATATGTTTTGATATGGTGTACGGAATTCGTGATTCCATTGAGTTTTTATTAGGATAAGAGAGTAAGCTTATGCTGATTATTTCATGCCAATCTCGGGATGAGTTTAGAATAAAGTTGGGGAGGTTTGATAAGTCTATTTTATAATGTATTAGATTGTCATAAATATATTAAATTGATATATGATTACCCAAGAATGACACTACTTTGATGGAATGTTGAACATTGTGTGTAGGAAATTACTTGGTACTAAAAGTGGGTGGAACGTGCAAGAAAAATGACCAAAAGGAAGTTAGCAAAACAAGGGAGACAGATTGCTAAGGAATGAAGCAAATGTTGTTGGGAAAGCTGACCAATCTTACATGTTTTGGTCATATCTCAAGTTCTGGAGCTCCGATTGACATGAGTGAAGATGTTTCAGAAACTAGAGAATATTTCATACTACTTTTGTGTTTTGAGTTTCTGCTAATTCTGTAGTTTTGACCACCAAAACTTGCATGAAAGATGAAGGACGTCTCCACGCGTCTAAGACGTCCCCTAGGATGTCCAAGCGAAATGGTGCCGATTGCGGAGCAAGGAAAACGAGGAAGGCCTTGTCGACGTCCTAGGAGGCAACTAAGACGTCCCCTAGGATGCCTAAGCGTTTTAGGGGCGTCTCCTGTCGGAACGACATGTTTCGAAAAGCATAGGAATCAATGAAGGACGTCCTAGAATGCGTCTAAGCCGTTCCCTAAGAGGCCTGGCATTTTAGGCGAATTTTTAGTGTATTTAAAGGACGACATAAGGCATGCAAAGACGTACGAAGAACGCCTAGGCGTTATACATAACGTGTAAGACGTCTCCTAGGACGTCCAACGTTCCATATCACCCGATTTCACTATTTTCTGTCACACAATATAAATAGGGACCTATGCATTCGTTTTTAGGGTTCATCCTCTGATTTTCAGAGCTTTTTCCTGTGTTTTTTAGGCTTCTAAAATCCTTGGAAACATTTGGAAACACAAATCCATTCCATTCCAATCTGGATTCAAGTCAAGAGTTTGTGGATTTCATCATCAAGCTACAAGTGAAGATCATTTCATTGGTTAATCTTCATCAATTCTTTATTTTCTAGAATTTATTTCTTCTCCCCTAAGGGTTAATTGTTCTATACTTTGATAATCATTAGGCTACGTTGTTTGATGATTTTAATTTTGTTTATGCATTTTATTAATCATTTCATTCAAGTAATTAGTTTTATGAACTCAATGGAAGGCTAAATCATTAGGATTACTTTTGGGGATGTTTAGGACTTTTGAATGAACACATTTGATTATTACTTCGTTCTAGTTAATTTCAATTGTTATTTTATGTTTCATGTGATGATATTTGGTAATGATAATTGAAATTGGGTTGTATGAATTGTTTGATGTCATAATTAAAATAGTTTATTGCCAATTCATTATTTGTTCCAAGTTCAAGTAGTTTAAGAACAAAGAAAATTGGTTGAGTCCACATGTATTATTCCAACTTGTGATATTAAATCTTAATATTATAATAGGTAGTTGCAAAACACTTTATTGTTAATTCACTAATTGTTCCTAATCCAAGTAGTGTAGGGAGTAAGACAACTAGTTGAATGAACATATTATTTGTTGCAAGATAATAAACCCCAATTACATCTAAGTAACTGAACTAGGGTTTTAGGGAAGAAAGTATGTGAATCTGAACTATCCGACAACTGAACCGGGAGTACCTAGTTTTCTCATTCATAGTAGTTGTTTTAACAACCAATTGCAAGCATTAGTTTTTTACATTTGACTATTTTAACACAAGGTTTAACCACGAACTCCCCGTGGATTCGACCCGACTTACCGTATCTACATAGTTTAGTTGGTTTATTTTTGATTGAGACAACGATATCGATCACCAGTTTAATCTTGTAGCTACTTGTAAATTTCTAACATCCACCAATTATTCAAAATCTTGATCCCTCACTCAACCATCTTTGATTTCATGTTCATTTAGTGGGTTATTCCAAAACAACCAATCTACTACTAAATGCACCTAAACCTACCTCTAATATATAATACCGAGGAGCAATGTTCTAAAACTACATCAGACAAGTACTTGTCATGTTTGGAAATTAACTAGAAATACAAACTCACATGCTTTCTGAATGCTAATGATGCAGACTGGTGAAGGTGAATGGCCTCCCAGTTTAGAATACTTTTTTTAGGTGGAGGGTGATGCTGGTGAATACATTGGCCATTAGCTAGTTCTCTGTTCATATTCAAGTATTAAAACAAGCATTAAAGGAAATTACATGAACATTTGCAAAAAGAAAAGAAATTACATCAAATCTTCATCAAACAATCTTGGTTACTCGAAGCATCGGTTGTCTTTATTAAGGAAACCCATTGTTTAAGTAAGAGCGCCACCTGTCAATAAATGGAAAATCATCTGGATTCAAGGGTGGATGTTCACGATCTTGGAGGGAGCTGATTATCCGTGTAGTCTGACCGAGAAGTTGGGCTGCAACATGCACATTCACCTCTCTTTTCTCTATGGCGCTTGTGTGGCATTTCATTAATATGACTTGGGGTAAGTTGGTGAGACATGCTGCCAATATATCAGCGATCATTGATGATAACACTTCAAATAGTTCCTCTTGGCTAGCTTCGTGATAAATGTTCACGTGGCAAGAAATCAGGATTGTTTCTGTGATACGATACATTGAATTGGCACAAATAGAACTGTATTTGGAATTATCATTTTGGCTTCGAATATCTGTACTTTCCACCTTAATGACCATGCTTTTAGCTGTATCTCTCAACCATTGAAGAATCTGTCTTGGTGTATTCACTTCAGGATTATATTTTGGCAGCTTGTTTCCTAACCAATTGTTGTAGACTTCAACCTCACGCCACAAAGTTTTAGCTGCCTCTTGAATGCTTACATGATTATCAGTTGCATTGAGAGTTTTTTCCACAAGTGCGACATATACAAGACCTTCACTCACACCACTTAGCAAGGAATAGACTGTGTCCTGTTGGATGTTAGGAAGAGACATGGCGATGGTTGTGAGAGTTACCAATGGCAAGCTCCAACAATTGACATATTCTTCTAAAAGTAAAGGTGGAACATAATCGCTGTCAAATGTTGCAACTCCTCCAAAACCTCCAGATTTTGCTAATAGCTTCATAAGATTTTTGGGTTGCTGTTTTTCTGCCTTTTTGATTAAGTGATTCACCGATTTTAACATGCCTTTCAATGTTCTGTTAGCAAACTCGATGTCGTCATGGAGTTGCAAAACGTACCAGCTAAGCTCTATATCTTTTCTTAGATGCTCCTTAGGCTTTTCTCTCAGCACAGGACGTAAGGTGCAAAACATGGCTTTTAACCACTTCCAACAATACAAGACACATATGGCAACGAAAAATGGAACCACTGCTATGATCTTGCAGGCCACCACGACTATCTTCTGAAACCCTATGCAAATATTGAGAATTAGGACTTTGAGGTTCTCCATGACACACTTGCATTTGCGGCTACTGGATGGGAATGGTATGCTACTCCGTTTCCAATCAGATAACTTCTCAGTCCAGTAGCTTTCTACTTTAGTGATCTTGATATGGTTCTGAAGCCGTTTTATGGACACCTTAAAGATTAAGGCTGCAAAACATCTAGAAAGTGGGGAAATTGAACCTACTATGATTCCCAAAAACTGTATTATGAGAATCACTGGCATTGACCACTTATAATCGGACTTATAGTCCCATAGATTTTCAACATAAAAAAGTAAAAGAAGAATGTGTATGACAACGCTTGAAGCACATATTACGGTTGAAGCAGAGGTTGTAACAGAGCATGTTGTCATGAATTGGGAGCTTCCAGTTCCTGCCATGATCCACCAATAGCTCACATGCCACTTTAGCTTCTCAACACTTAATTTTCCTTCTTGGTGCAAATCTTGATCGTTTATAGCTATCATGAGTGGCTTGGTATTTTGATTCTAGAATTTGTTTGGACTTCAGAATTGCTAGAGCTGAACATACATATATTGTGAGCAACATGAGTAACATACCCACATAAATGGCTGCTGTAAATCTGTTGTGTCTATCAGGTACGTAGGATGGTAAACTTTTCACATAACCATGAAGGTCAAACCCCGCACCATCATCTACTACATGATAGAAGAGAGCTCCAGTGTTTAGTTGAATGCAAACATTCACAACCAAGGTAATCACGAGAACAGCCAAAGATATGACGTTTGGGATAAGTTCCTTGCTATCCATGGTTGCTAGAGAAGGCAATAAATTACTCATCATGGTGCACATAAAGCCCAAGCTTCCAAGCTTTGTAGCCTGGTCCATGTAACTTGGCATTAGAGTAGATAGATCCATGGGCAGCTTTATTGCAACAGCTATCACAGTGAGAGAAGCAGAGTTCAGAGTGAAGTATTTACACGGAAACCATAGCGTTTTCCTCCGGAAACCATGTAATAAATCAGCCACCATTGCAATGATACAAAACAGAGATGCCAATGCGATATACATCCCAATCCATGGCATAGGTTTGCTGTACCTGTTTTGCTGATCCCCTTGGTATGATGAAATCCACAAGTGAGCCAGGTATTGTGCTGTATTATTGTTCCACGACGCAACACTATCCACAAGTTTCAGATAATCGTCAGAGTTGTAACTCATGATTATGTTAGTTCAAGGGAGAGGAAGTGGTGGTATGCGATATTTCACATGGGGTTTAAGGAAATGCAAAGTGGAGAATTTGTGTTGTTTTTCTGAATCCTGTGAGAAAATTTAAAAAAAAAAAAAAAAAAAAAAAAAGCTTCATGAAACTTCCAAATTATTGCGGGAAAAGGCTTTTAAAAGCCGTGTTATCAGGAGAAAGGGTCCATTTGAAATTCATTTTTACTATAATAAAATTTATGAATAATTATTTATAATTGTGAAGAAAGTAAGCTAGTTTTTGTTATTTGTCTGCAGATCTGCGTGGTTTTTTTTGTCTGCGTCGCGCAGATCACGCGCGGACTGTTTGTTTTTTTGAAGACTGTAAACCTAAAAATGTCCGCGCGTCTTTTTTTTGACGCAGATATGAACCAGAGTCTTCTTAAATCTTCATACATCTTCTAGCCTAAAAAAATATATATATCTTTAATTTTTTTTTTTCTAATTTATAATTTTTCCAACTTTATTAATGATAAACAATTTGAAAAAAAAAATTACAAAACTTAAAAAAAAAACGTTCGACGATACAAACATGATATTTTTGAAAAATTTATAAATAAATTAAGATTTATTACAATAATAGTCGTTGAAGTTGTTTAAATAAATATGAACAAAAAAATCATAATATATTCTTATATTTTTTTTTGCCAAATTTTATAAAACATTATTTAATACAGTATCGTCAATTTCTTGAGAAAATATTTATAATACGTTTTTAATGGATTTAATTGAAAAAATCGAAGTTTATTTCCATCCATTTATGTATCAAAGTTTTTGATCAATAATTTGGTTGTAACTTTGTAACAAAAATTATTGGATTTTATCAAATATAAAGATCACATCTATTCACTATTGAGTGGACCTGGACTTTGAGAGTGGACCGAAGATAGACTTTTGAACACAAAATTGAAAATTCTACGTGAGTGCTTATAATTTGGTTTCAATGTGGCATGTCATGTTGTTGATTGCTTTAACTTTTTTGTTTTGTTTTTCGTTAGTTTTTAAAATTCTATTAAATACGGCCAAAATAAACAAACACCCATTATATATATATATATATATATATATATATATATATATATATATATATATATATAGAGAGAGAGAGAGAGAGAGAGAGAGAGAGCGCTAGGTTCACATGTCGATTGACATCTATTGTGTGAACGTATGAACAGTGCTATTCTGTGAAAATGATAAAAAATATGTTTTTGGTAATCTGAATACGTTCAAAGTTACATAATTATTGTCATTATCATGCATTATCACTAATTAAATCGTCTATAAGGTTATTATAGATTTTTTTATATTATTCTCATTCTGTCACAATGTTTTCAGAAATAAGTGAAAAACGATGCATGAGAACAAAAATGAATGAAAATTAATAAGAATGCATGAAAATAACAATAATTATTGTCGTTATCATGCATTATGACTAACCATTGACCATTTCTATAATACGTATAAATATAGACCATTGTATATATGTTTCTTCACATCACCTAATTTTTTTCAGTCTATTGGATTTTATATTTCATTATATAACACTATGATTTTTAATTGATATTTTGAAACCATTTTACATGTCATTTAAAAATAATGATGATAGATTTGAGAAAAAACATGAAACTATATATAAAAATAACAGTTTTCCAAATATATGATTAATGATTATGATTTTAAGTCTTTATATTGTTTTACTAAGTTAATCGTGTATTACACGAGTTATAACCTAGTGTGTGTGTGTGTGTGTGTATATATATATATATATATATATATATATATATATATATATATATATATATATATATATATATATATATATATATATAAAGCAAAACAAATCTTATTCATAGTAATCTTTTGATTTTGACATTTTTGGCCCAATAGTTTGTCATATTTGCAGTTTTTGTTCATGTTCTGAAACCGAATTATAATATTATGGGTTCAAACCCCCCAAACTTTCAATCTCAGTCGTAATAACTAAGGATTTACGGTTAATCGGAAGGAGTTTGGCTTCCGTCTTTAGCTCCTTCCCATGATTCCTCATTCTTCTCCACACATTCAGTATTTACCGTTTCTTCTTAGCTTCCACAACCACCGACGACAACCCACGAAATTGAATGCTCTCCGCTCCATCTTCTTCGTCGACCTAGAAACCGTCATATCCCGACCTTTTGGATACTATCTTTCCCAACCTCCTTCCCGCGTTCTTATAGTTTTCGTACTATGAGTCTTATATAAGATTAACTTGTGAAGGTAATTTCACCAATATGCATACCAAACAGGTTTTGGAGGGAGAGCAAGAGATAAATAATCGATCGTTTGTAAAGAAACTAGAGCAATTATGTCCTTCAACCATCGTCGCTCCTCTACCACTACCATCTACAAGCACATATCGGTTCAATACCTCATCAATCCAGTACTTCCGCTTCCATTGTACACTGATTCACGACAATCGCAGTAGAACTGTAAGCCTTTTCTCTCTCTCTCTCTCTCTCTCTCTCTCTCTCTCTTTCTCTCTCTCTCTCTGTGTGTGTGTGTGTGTATGTGTGTGTGTGATCATGTTCAATTTATTCATGGATTTAGCATCATTTTTTTTAACTAGCTCGAGTTCTGATTGCATCAGAATTGTCATTCTTACTTTGTTGTCTCTCAAATTCTTCCTCTATGTTGATAATTAAGAACAAGGCTGCCTTCGTCCATTTATAGGGCATCAATTGTGAGGGAACCCCTCTCTAAAACTACATCATATTACTCCAAAACATGTTACATTCATATTTATAAACAATATTTTACATTGATAGCTTAATTACACAAGACTAGATACAAACCGACTAAGTTTTAGTATATTACATAACTACCTAGGAAATTATACTTTTATACATAATGATCACTAAATACAAAAGTAATATTATTAACTATTCTAAATCTTTAAATAGTATGTGTCTATACTGGATCCTTATTACCTGCAATAGATAAACACTAAGAGGGATAAACAGTGACGCTTAGTGAGTTCAAAAATAGATACAATATAACATTATGTTATGTATACCAATATGACAGAAGCAAAGACGAACAAAGAACAACAAAGGCATATGTGAATAATGCGACAAGCTTTCCATATCAATCAATGATTTGATTTAAAGATATACGATTAATGAGACATAACAATTTCAATACTTGAGAAACATAAATAATGCTTCGCCCTAAATGGCACAGAAGACATACACTTTCTGATTAAACATTTTTGTAGATTTCAGGCTTTTAGCCCTATCTAACCTTCTATCAATGCCATGCAGGTAGAAGTCATTCTCTTACGACGCATGTTCTACACGGCCAAAGGCTAAATATCAATACCACCGTGAATCTAAGTCCTTTTATTGCTCACATGGTTCGAGGTACAATTTTGCTACCATAATAGCATAAGATAATAACACGAGATAATAACACAGAAAAACACATAGCAAATATAACACACACCATATAGTTGTTCCTATATATTGAACTCACCGTGAAATAATTGGAGGTTAAATAGTAATTTGGGCAACACTTCGTTCCTATAAATAACTTTCTTCGATGAAAACTGGGAGCTTTATTGAAAACCGGGCCTTGCGAGGGTTGAGCTTCAAAACCGAAAAGATAAGTTTTTCGGGGTGTTCGGGCACTTTCGGAATGTTTTTCGGTTGTTGGGTATGATCCCGGGGCTTCGGGGAAGTTGTGTAACATCCGAATTTTCAGGTATCATAATTGATGGATTTATTTTGAGTTATTAAGGGGGACTCGACGAGTTGGCGCCTAAACTCGTCGAGTAGGATCGCGACTGGTGACTCGGATTAATGAGTGCACTCGACGAGTCGGTGAGTGGACTCGATGAGTCCGTGTTTGTTGGCAGAAACCCTAAATTTTCGGGACTAAGCCCTATTTAAAGGCACTTATGACCTTCATTTACGGCTACCATTCCATAGAGAGAACCCTAATGAGCTTGAGTGTGTAGAGTGAGAGAGAGAGAGAGAGAGGGCCATTTGAGCTTTTTGGTATGATTTTGCAAGAAAGGAGAAGAGCTCTAGCAAGAAGGATCAAAGGGATTGTTATTCTGAGTTGGGCAAGCAAAGAGTTTCATCTTGAGGTACCAAATCGGACCCCTCTTTCTCTCTATTGTTTAGATTTCATTCTTTGGGGTTAGGGATTAAATATTCCTTTTTGGGGTTTTGGATGCCTCACCCCCCCCCCCTCTTGCAAGTTGTGTTAGAGATCTGGACCCTTATAGGTCCAGGGAGACCCAAGCATCCAACTTTATGTAATTCCAATGGAGTTTTGAACCTAGGTTGTCCTTGTACAAGCTATTTCACCAAAAAGAGCCATATGGGTGTTGCATGAGTATAAAGGTTGGACCTTTACGTGACTTTTGAGTGTTTAAAGGTCAGATCTATAAGATAAAGAAATAGATTTGACCTCAGGAGGTCATTTAGGAATTGCCATGGAGGAAACTCGTCGAGTCCATGAGAGGACTCGAAGAGTCGAGTCGGGTTGCCTCGCGATTCGTGATAAGTGGTAACCCGTCGAGTGAAAGGTTAACTCGACAAGCGGAGTGAAGCCTTAGAAGGATTAAGAGTGATGAAATAAAATCAACAGTTCTTTGTAGTTGAACTGGTAAGGCATGTTTTATCAAATGAATGACTGACTTTTAATCCCCGTCTCCTTATTTTTTAAATGAATAGCTTCACTGTTTAATAGATATATATTGGGCGTGAAGCTTGAAATCATAAAAAACCTCTAGCTTAGTTGGTAAATTGCTTTCATCGGTGGAAGGAAACCCATGTTTGAAACGTGCCCCCTACATTCTCCAAAAATAGAGCTGATTTTTTATTAATAAGGAACGAGCGACATGGCATTCCACGTCAACGATGATTCCACCTTAGAGTGCCAAAAAAGGACTAAATTGAAAGAATCAGATGGTTTTT